CAGAAGGCAAGCTCTCTGTCTACCGGGCCATTTTTGTTCCTACCCTCACCTATGGTCATGAAGGATGGGTCATGACCGAAAGAACGAGATCGCGGATACAAGCGGCCGAGATGGGTTTTCTCCGCAGGGTGGCTGGTGTCTCCCTTAGGGATAAGGTGAGAAGTTCGGTCATCCGGGAGGGACTCGGAGTTGAACCGCTCCTCCTTCGCGTCGAAAGGAGCCAGTTGAGGTGGTTCGGGCACCTAGTTAGGATGCCACCTGGGCGCCTCCCTAGGGAGGTGTTACCGGCACGTCCAGCTGGGAAGAGACCAAGGGGTAGACCTAGGACCAGGTGGAGGGATTATATCTCTTCGCTGGCCTGGGAGCGCCTTGGGATCCCCCAGTCAGAGCTGGTTGATGTCGCCAGGGGAAATAACGTTTGGGGCTCTCTGCTGGAACTGCTACCCCCGCGACCCGACCACGGATAAGCGGAAGAAGATGGATGGATTTTGACCGTAGCCATCTTGGTTTTATGGGACCAGAAATGATACAAGAAAGTAAGGAAAAGCAAAACCGAAGGCTCAAAAAGACAACTCCATTTGGAAAGAAATCAGTATCAGTGGAACAAGAAAAGACAAACCCAATGTAACGATCAGGAAAAGTGAAATGGCTCTACATATAAAACAAATAATAACAGCTTACATAATAACAATCAACAAGACAATAAGATGTAATGCCCTCTCACCCTTAAACAAATCCTGTTTCCTGACTGATACTGCACTTTCATTTTGACATCAAGGAACTTCTGTCAGATTGAGGTAGGTCATGCACAATCATTAACACACACACACACACACACACACACACACACACACACACACACACACACACACACACACACACACACACACACACACACACACACACACACACACACACACACACACACACACACACACACAACACACACACACACACACACACACACACACACACACACACACACACACACACACACACACACACACACACACACACACACACACACAACACACACACACACACACACACACACACACACACACACACAACACACACACACACACACACCTCTATTACGGTCCACTGCTCCACCACGATGGTGTCGTTGGCGGGAGGAGAGGTGCTCCTCTCTTCGTACACAAACAGTCCCTCCAGGGATCTGGGCACCGGCTCGCCTGGAATAAAACACACAAAAAGTGACTTTAAAATGTGTGCAAGTGGTTATAATGTCACGTTTCTCATTGCATAGTAACACACAGCCATTACAGGTGGCAGATGATTAACAGCAAGTATTCTCAGTGGTGAAAACAGGCAGAGGAAACAGAGAGGATGTCATTGGCTTGATATTGACCCCCGTTTTTAGAAATAGGTTAAACTCTATGGAGGGATCTTGTTGCAGTGTGTGTGCAGAGTGTGTGTGTGTGTGGTGTGTGTGTGTGTTGTGTGTGGTTGTGTGTGTGTTGTGTACAGTATGCAAGGTGTGTGTGTGTGTGTGTGTGTGTGTGTGTGAGTGTGTGTGTGTGTGTGTGTTACAGTATGCGAGTGTGTGTGAGTGTGTGATACAGTATGTGTGTGTGTTACAGTATGTGTGTGTCTGTGAGTGTGTTACAGTATGTGTGTGTGTGTGTTACAGTATATGAGTGTGTGTGTGTTACAGTACGTAAGTGTGTGTGGGTTACAGTACGTGAGTGTGTGTGAGTGTTACATTAAGTGAGTGTGTGTTACAATATGTGTGTATGTGTGTGTCTGTGTGAGTGTGTGTTACAGTATGTGTGTGTGTAAGTGTAAGTGTGTGTTATAGTATGTGTGTGTGTGTGAGTCTGTGTTACAGTATGTGTGTGAGTGTGTGTGTGTGTGTGTGTGTGTGTGTGTGTGTTACAGTATGTGTGTCTGTGTGTGTAAGTGTGTGTTACAGTATGTGTGTGAGTCTGTGTTACAGTATGTGTGTGTGAGTCTGTGTTACAGTATGTGTGTGTGTTACAGTATGTGTGAGTCTGTGTGTGTGTTACAGTATGTGAGTGTGTGAGTCTGTGTGTGTGTGTGTGTGTGTGTGTGTGTGTGTGTGTGTGTGTGTGGGTGTGGTGGTGTGTGTGTGTGTGTGTGTGTGGTGTGTGTGTGTGTGTGTTACAGTATGTGAGTGTGTTTATTATGTCCATTTATTTCAGAGTCTGAGTCTCTTCTGCTTCTCCGCAGAGGAACAGGAAGTGAGGTCCGTCGAGGTCGTCGAGACTTCCAGATTTAGACCGTCAGCGGGAGAGAGGAGAGACCCGCAGCCAAAACAGGAAGTGGCTAGAGTCTGTGTGTGAATCACCGTTTTATGAGAACAAATTATAATGGAAAAGGTAGAGGAGGAGGAAGGGAAAACACCAGTCGCTCTTAACCCTTTAACAAAAAAATCCCAAATATTCTTCACTCCCTTAAAGGTGGGGTCGGTAAGAATGGAGAAACCAGCTCCTCGAGTGGCGCTAGAATTTGAAAGTACGCAGCCGAAATAAATCTGCCCCTTCCTTCAGACTTCCTCACAGAGCTCCTCCTCCAACACACACGAACGCACACATGACCAATGAGGGCACGAGATAAGTTTGTGCCCAGATGGAAGGCTGACAGGCAGGTAGGCCATCCAGTTACTTTAGCCGGCTCAGATGATTGGTCATGCTTTTTACAGAGCCACGGCTTCCAGAGATGACATTTTTAATGTATTTATTGTCAAAGCATTTAATGTATTCATTGCTATCGGGATGTTAAGAGCATTCCATGGAATATAACAACAAGTGTTTCTGAAGTGAATCACCTACCCCACCTTTAACTTACAGATGGAAACACCTAACTAAAAACAATTCAAACTAGGAAATACACACTGTCACATGCATTTACTACATTGACTATTCACTAGTATGCATTAACGTACAATTTTGAGTTATTTTACTTGAGATTTTGTATTTTCTGCTACTCTTTACTTTTACTCCACTACATCTCATAGTTAAATCTACTTTTACTGCACTTATTTGACAGATTTAGGTTTTTTAGTTACATCAAAAAACGTGTGATATGATGCAGTAACATGCTACCAATGTACCCTGGTATTAGATTATTAAAAGATAAATCGAATGACAGAAAAATGATTGGCAAGCAACTATTTTGATACTCCACTTATCATATTACAAGCAAAACAAAGAGAGATGAGCATATGTCCTGCTTCCTTTTGTATTTTGCATCAATGTACAGTAAATACTTTGGTGTATTTAGACTTTGTTAGCCCAAAAGTGTCAAAGACTCAACAATTATCGATTATATAAAAAAATGATCATGAGATATTTAAAAAAGTCAAGTGTTAATTGACACAAATGACAAACTATACCAATAGAAACATCTCACTTTTCATTGGAGATAAAAACAGAATAATATGAAAAATCTTTGAGAGGGAATGTTGCTGATAATACTTTTGTACTTTCACTAAGCTTTCATTTTGAATTCAGTACTTTTACTTCTATTGGAGTATTATTAGACAGTGGTATTTCTACTTTTGCTTAATTAAAAATCAGAGTATCCCCCCCCCCCACGCTGCGTGTATCTATCCAGGTTCAGGGATGTGAATCCGACATGAATCCAAACCTTTGGGCGTGTCCCAGTACACGAAGGAGTCCACCAGCGACCAGCCTTTTCGGTAGTAAGCGGCGGTGAGCTCCAGCCAATCAGCTTCCAGGGAGCTGACCACCTGACCCTTCCTGGAGACGCGCATGGAGAGCGCCCCCTGGTGGTACTGACAGGCCAGCGAGTCGAGAGGAGAGCAGCCCGGAGCCCAGCAGTGGAAGAACACCAGCAGCCTCAGGTCTGAAGGAGGAGCAGGAACACATGGACAGGTACTTCACTGGAGAACCACCATTTTACACTTCTTTATACTCCTACTACTGCACTGCACTTCTGTGACAACACTACTTAACTGGGTAACTTGTGTGCTTTTATTCTATGTTTTTATTGTGTATTGTGTTTTTAGCACTTCTTAACACGTGGCTTGTGTGGTGGTCATTTATTCTTTTATGTTTCGTATGATGTTTTAAATAATGTTTTGTCAAGCACTTTGTGACTGTCTGTGAAAAGCGCTTTATACATACATTTTACTTACTTACAGGGTTAGGGTTAGGGTACATTGCAGATTTTGATTATTAATAACAAATATATAAATCAATTCATAAATGAAGATGTATTCTTATTGATTAAGCTACCCTGCATGGTACTTAATACATCAAGTAAATTAAATGAACTTTTTTCAGCTGCAACATCAAAGTGACGATGAATGCATCAATAATATTGAATGTATATATAGGATTCTGAAAAGGGCATAATGAGTACTTTTAGTAGTTTAAGTACATTTTGATGCTCATACATTTACACGTACTTTACTAAGTCAAAGATCTGAGTACTTCTTCAACCACTGATAACTTATCATTGCAGTATTAATTGTTAACCCTGTGATCGCTAAAACAAGCCGAGGACTGAAATAAATGTTGTTTTTGTTGTTTTTTGATTAGCCAAAATTAAACGATACATCATAAGCAGAAACTGTAGAAACAGAAATTATGAAAACAATTGTTTTCATAAAAACCACTGCAATCTAGATGTCTCAATTAGAAATGTGCCAGTTCACCAATTACATATTTGGTTTGGTTTATTTCAGTTATTTTAATTTTATTAATTAATATTTTCTTTTTCTGTCACTTTGATTTGCTCCCTTGTCTTCTCACTGTTTTTAAGTGTTGTTACGTGGTCAAGTGTGTAAAGTAAGTTATATTAAACATGAATCACTGACTCATTTGAGCATGTTTCATTATTGTATTGTCACCGCCTTTATTTGTGGAGAATATGTACAAAAATCAATAGGGATATTGTTTTAAATGAATAATAATAACCAAAGAAGTTACGAACTTGCAGGGAGGGTCTCACCAGGACTGTAGGTGTGCTCCTCCAGCTCTGCGTCTCCAGGTGGAGTTCGGGGGGGGGGGATCTGGGGGGGGAGCGGCAGCCCCTCTTTGGGCTATGAACTCCACCGTTAGTGACCCCGCTCACCTGCTGGAGGACCGAGCCAACGAATCGAACGCCCCCTCGAGCGCTGCTGTTCACCTGCAGGACAGACAAACACAGAGTCAAAGAGATAGTATTTCACTTAAAGGTCTCCTATTATACTGTTTTTCATCATACAGGACTCAGATATACACAGAGCCTGTCTCTGATTGGCTGAAACCCAAACAGATCATTGCAGCATCCCATAATCCCCTCTGTTTCAGCCCTGTTTCCAAAGTGCTGATTCTCTGTCTGTTACTTTAGATGAAAATAAGGAGCCCCTCCCCACGCCCCTCTGAGAGACATTTGGTTACAAATAACTCAATGGTGCTCTAGGAGGAGATTCAGGTGATAAGGGGGGGGGGGGGGGGGTTACCTTGGTTGCTGATTGGCTAATGGTTACACAAGACAAAACATCGTTATGACATCACAAAGTGGTCAAAATCTGATCAGCTCATTTTCAGACAGGTTTTTATAGAAATGGATTAAAAAGAGAGAGAATCTTTGTTCCTGAAACTTTCAGAGTCTCTTTCCACAGAGGGGACACATGTTGATATAGAAGAGACATGAAGAAGAGGGGACACATGTTGATGTAGGAGAGACATGAAGAAGAGGGGACACATGTTGATGTAGAAGAGACATGAAGAAGAGGGGACACATGTTGATGTAGAAGAGACATGAAGAAGAGGGGACACATGTTGATGTAGAAGAGACATGGAGAAGAGGGGACACATGTTGATGTAGAAGAGACATGAAGAAGAGGGGACACATGTTGATGTAGAAGAGACATGAAGAAGAGGGGACACATGTTGATGTAGAAGAGACATGAAGAAGAGGGGACCACATGTTGATGTAGAAGAGACATGAAGAAGAGGGGACACATGTTGATGTAGAAGAGACATGGAGAAGAGGGGACACATGTTGATGTAGAAGAGACATGAAGAAGAGGGGACACATGTTGATGTTGAAGAGACATGAAGAAAGAGGGGACACATGTTGATGTAGAAGAGACATGGAGAAGAGGGGACACATGTTGATGTAGAAGAGACATGGAGAAGAGGGGACACATGTTGATGGAGAAGAGACATGGAGAAGAGGGGACACATGTTGATGTAGAAGAGACATGAAGAAGAGGGGACACATGTTGATGTAGAAAAGACATGAAGAAGAGGGGACACATGTTGATGTAGAAAATACATGGACAAGTGGATTTTGCATAATAGGTGAAATGTAAACACGTCTAACTCCTGAACATGTGAATATATTCTATACTTTATTTATTTTAAGAATGCAAGAGGCTTGAAGAGGTTATAGATTTAAATTATTTGAGGGATTTAAAGTCTAAGAAAGTATTTTAGAATCATGAAAAGCTACACAAATATCCACATTTTCACTTGTTTTAAGGATTTTATAGTCCTGATAAAAGTACAATGGTCCAGTATGTAACTTTTGGGGGGATTTTTATACTACAATACTTAAAAGGGTGATAATATCTAATATTTTACTATTGATTTTAGTGTCCTATAAAAAAAGGGAGAATGTCAGTATTTCAGTAAGTATTTTTCTAAGCATCTTAAGAACCCTGAAATGATAAATGTATTTAACATGTTATACTTAATGAGTCTTGAAAGTCATAAAAATGTGAAAATATTGAAAAAGACAAAATCCAAACTGCATTTCTGTACGGATTATTTTCTAGCCTGAAAATATTACATCATCCAGTATTTATTTAAAGGCCTAAGGCAGGGGTGGGGAACCTCCGGCCCCCGGGCCGTATACGGCCCGCGAGACCATTTGGTGTGGCCCTCGAGGTAATTTATAAACACACGCAAAAAAGAAAAAAATTAAAGAAATCTAGACTACAAAATAATTAAACAAGTGAGTGCCTGTTTTTCCTGGCCAAGGTCAGGGTCCTTGAACACAACACAAGCCTAACGTGTCATCACGTGGTATATGTCTCGTCTGACAGGGGTGTAATTCTGACCGAGAGCACCAGAACGCAGCTCCGCTCCGTCACTTCCAAAAAATTGCAGTACCGATAAGGAGCCGTACACATGCTGCAGTTTTTCCGTGGCTGTGTCTTAGTTGTAAGCCCAGTGGCGATCTGTCACACTGATCATACAGTCAATAACTTTGTTGTTATTAGCATCTGGTTAGCTAGCTATGCTAACGAATATAAGAAGCTTGTTCTACAACCAGTGAGGTAAAGGCACATCTTTATATGATCATTATAGTTATAAAACAAATAAAATAATAAAGTAAACAGGTATAAAATACTAGATGACAGTAAAAAAAAGTTGTCATTAATAAACAAGAATACAGTTTGAAAGGAGAGTGATTTGTAAAATATCCAAAAAGAATATCTGCTTCCAGTTCTGTTTCATATGGGTGCTGAGAGATGTATCCATAGAGTTCCTAATGTTGCTCTCAAAGTGCACCAGATTGATGCTTTTAACTTCAACATTTAAAAAAACAAATGTTCCCCTAGAGGAGGTTAGGTCCCCCCCCACTTAAATCATGTTCACAGGAGTCTAAATACATTTACACACATCTTGTGTCCATATCTTTCTGTTGTGGTGGTCATGCCACAACCGTGCACGTGCATGCGTGAGTCATGGCAAGATATCTGGATTAAGAGGTTGCTTTTTCTTTGCACAGCATGAAAGAAAGGCGAAATGAGTGGGCTGTGATTTTAGTATTTTTAAGCAGAGGTCAATAATTTGTACGGCCCTCGGAGGATGTTGAAAACATTGAAATGGCCCTTGAGAGGAAAAAGGTTCCCCACCCCTGGCCTAAGGGATGAAAACGACGGAATTGTTTCTTTAAAAGCATAAATCTATCATCTAGTGGCCCCTCTTATTTAAATGTTTGGGCAGCTAACACACAGGGTAGGAACCACAGGCCTGGGGTAATATTTGAAATACAGCTCCCTCGTGTATTTATATACACTTTTATGGCGTCTAAGGTGCAGTAAATCTAATTCTCACTGACCCTGTCGATGAGCGCTCGGACCGTGTCGCTCGTCAGTGAATCTCCAGGTAACGGCCACTCCTCCACCTTCAACATCGGCACGCTGTAACACATGGACGCCATCTGCTTACTGACACACACAAACACACACACACACACACACACAACACACACACACACACACACACACACACACACACACACACACACACACACACACACACACACACACACACACACACACACACACACACACACACACACACACACACACACACACACACACACACACACACACACACACACAGGCTTATTAACAAATGAAAACTAATGTGTAATATAGGCTCACATATATATTTAACAAGTACAATATAAGACAAGCACAAGTTTCAAGTGGGGGCCATATTCCCTTATACTTTAAGAATTTGCTGAGGGCTGATTAGAAATGGACAAAGGGCCGCATTTGGACCCCGGGCCGTGGTTTGGACACCCCTGTATTAGATAGAGGAAGATGAGCAGTGACAGTGCAGATGTCTTTGGGGAGTTTCTGGATTATAGCCCAGCTGGAGGGTTCAGAGTTCACTTGTTTTTGTCACAGAGCTGCAGACACCCACACATCAATGATTCACGCTCAGCAGGGGGCGGCTGCCACCTACTGTCTGAGCAATTAACTCAAAGGGTAAACAACAATTTAGTGATGACAAGTCATACACAACATACTGCATTTTCAACATGAAGGTAGAAAAACAGAACTTGATAGGGCTTTCAGTCGACTTGCAAAGAACTATGCAAAAGTGCAAGAAAATGTCCTTAAGAAATTAAACTAAAGAAATCTTAATTGCCCAACTTTCATCATGTCCACTAATTGATTAGTTGATTTAATCGAAATATTTTAAAAAAACATCCACAAAGAATTATGCACAAATTCAAACTCATTTACTAAAGATATCTCAGTAGACCAACACTCATAATTGTTGACTAGATGATTACATCGACAGATCTGTAAAACTTAGATTCAGTACAGAGTATTTCCCTGTGTTTCATTTTTTAATAAAAACCTCATCATTAATTCACCTCTAATGCCATCTTATGAAATACAAATCCTCATCATAGTAACAGTATCTTAACCTATCAAACCTCAGCGCTGATAAATACTTCATCTCCATTGGCTGCTGAGGGACCCCTGTTGTCGGGTGGATTTCCAGCCAATAGAATTCAGGGTAGACATTAAGTAAAACCAAAACAAAGTCTACAGCAGGCACGACAGTCTGACCTCCTACCAGATCTCTGCATTAAATATGCAGCTGACTTCATCCATCATTAATCTATTTACTAGACAGTATGGAGGTGAACATGTGGCGCACAGTGGGAAGGCATGAGAGGAAGGGGAGTCACACACAGCATGTATATATAGGGGTTATATAAATGTATCATTACTTAAAAAACTGAAGTCTTAAGGTTGAAATGACTATCATATTAGTAGAAGTGAAAGCCACTTGCAATCAGAAATGGCGTTCCTCAGGGATCTAGTCGTGGGCCGCTTCAATTTTCAATATACAGAAACAACATTATATTATACATCATATTTGGTACTTCAATGTTTGTTTTTATTCAGATGATGCACTTAAGTATGTTATTTAATCGTTTATTTGGTAGGGACATTTCACATTAACGAACACTTGAAACAATAAATGTGCCAAGTGTAAATATGCCGGATTTAGCTTTGAGCTACTTTCCATCCGCAATCCCTCACATAAAACATTTAAGAAAATGAAATGTACAAACAAGCAACATAGCAAATACAAATACATGAATGTCGCTGTTGTATGATATTCAAAAAGGGTCATCTTTAGTCTGACTTTAATGTTAATAAGCCAATATTTCCTTTTCTCAAATAGATTACTTCTAGGATTTTTTAAAAGGTAGAAAAAACTAAAACAATAACATATATATATATATATATATATAATATATCTCGCTTATTTTAAGGATTGTTGTACATCTCAAAATGTAGAAAAATCCAATATTTCCCTTTGTTGAAGGACTTTGGAGTTCGACAGATGAATATATTTAGTATTTAACTTTTTTTTAAGGATATTATAGTCCTGATGAATATTTATTATTTTACTTTTGAAGGATTTTGAATGAGTCCTGGAGGTAATAAGTATTCAATAAAACTATTCAGTATTTAATCTCCGAATGTATCCAGTATTTGACATTTTGAGAGATGTAGTTGCTGAACATTGTGAAGGTAGGATTTTAGTTAGTCAGTGTTAAGATTATTGACATTTTGTTTATGCATATGACAACATTTGATATCTCCCAGGCTCCACTTAACCATAACTCATGTTCTTCTTCACAACTGCATATGAAGAAAAGTTTAGAACTATGGTTGTCTGCACTTACAGTCATACAAACATATTTTTTTTCAAAGAAAGGGTAATTTCAAAGCAGCAAGTATTAAAACCACTTCCTTTTTGGTTTAAGGATTAAAGATTGTTGGGGAAATACTGAATGTCTTCTTCCAATATCAGAGTCCACATGATAACAAAGGTATCCCAACTGTAGCTGTGAACATGAGAGGATGTGTGATTACCTAGAAGAGCATCAGGACTGTTTGAGGCATATGATAGCTATGTGATTAACATGATGATTCAGCCTCTATGGAGATAGACATATGACAAGCATGCTCATTTCTGACGTGGAGCTCATCTGAACTAAACTTTGAATACTGCTTTCTATTCCTCCATCTTGTGACTGTGTAACTCCCTCTCTTGGATATCAGCATGTGAAGGACACTGTTCAGGAACTAGTTGATGCTCTGTATGTGAGGACTACTTCCATTCTGGAGAGGATCACAAATACATGGATCCTGAGATTGAAGCTCAAGCCGGTGACGAGTGATATTTTTCTAACAAAGAGGGTTATTTTGTGTGTACCTGGACCTGGGTCGGGCCATGATGGCGCGGTATAACAGGCTGAAGGGCAGCGATCGGCTCCGGCCCACAGACAGTATTATGGGATGCAGGGCGGTCAGGACGTAGCCCTGAGTGTAGTACGGCTGCAGAGCCTGGGGCAGCTCGGAGAGCGAAGACACGTACTGCACCGTGGGGCGGCTGCCTGCAGGGACAGAGACATAATGGGTAGGGAAACATGTCAGTAAAATGCAGCTGGTTTATAAAGTGTGACAAGCATTTCAGACCATAACCCCTTTAATGTGGGGGAAATATCTTAATGCTCATCGGTTGTAGAAGGTCCAAAATCTTAAATAAGTTCTTCCTGCAAACACCAAAATTGGTCATGTTAGTAAAATCCAGCTGCAGCTAAATATCCGTTTAAGGTCCCAGCGGTTCTCTCCTCTTGCTCAGATATTTTCACCGCAAAATATTGTACAGTATCAACAAACGTTACTGTAACATTACAGCACTATGTACAGTAAAATTACAGTATTGCTGTAATATTACAGTATGGTTTTAAAGTGCTGTATAAATGTCCCGCCTAAGGATAATATTCCCACAATGCAGCATAATGTACAGTATCACACTGTATTACAAATTCAAAGTAAATTACTGTGGGTAATACAATCATTTACTGCCTACAGTACATTACATAAATGTGTTACAGTTCAATTCAAATCAATTCAAGGCGTTATTATCATTAGCACATTAGCTACAGTGTAGATATGGCAATGAAAAACTTAGGTCCAAAATCATAAATATGTTCTTCCCCGAAACACCAAAATTGGACATGACAAGCTTTATCAGGTGATTCTTCTTTAACGGACAGCTATGACTAACACGTGATTTAAAATATGCTATTTTTCAAGCAACACTGCCACATTTTCCCCTGTTACAGCTTCCTAAATGGGAGGATTTTTTGCTTTCTTCTTATAGTAACCTGGATGTCCCTCAGTGTTGGACTGTCGGTCGTACAAATCAAGACATACCATTGGATTTTTTGCAAGATAAATAATCCATTGGAGTGATTTACTAACAGCCACACACCAGGACCATTTACTCCATTCACAACACAACACAAGGCCAGTGTTTTTAAAATGTATCTACCACAATGATAGCTCAGTTATCAGCAGTGTAAAAAGCGTCAGTACCATGAGTGAAAGCCTAACATGGAGAGAAAAGGATGTGTTTTCATACTGTCTGTATTCCTTTTCTGCCTCTATGACTTAAACATCACTTTTCCACAGTTGCTACACAAAAACACAATGTCTGCCATAGAGAAATACAGATGTTAATAATGTAGCTTCCCATTTACTTCCAATTTAAGTTATTCCAGTGGCAGAGAAGTAGCTATTTTTAGTACGTTTACACATAAGGAACCACTTGGTAAACTACCCACATACTTCCATAATACATTATGAATACAGGGAGGGATATTGACAGCACCCAATTCTTTACATCCAGCCATATGAATATGAAGACGTTGTGGATCTGGAAACTAAAAAAAGTGTCTTCTAGGTCTGAGAGAGTTTTAATATCTTGAGTCCAGCTGTGTCTCAAAGCTTCAAACACAGATGACGGCCGTTAAAAACACCACCGGCATGTTGAGGGAAACACCACATCACCACGCTCTTACGTAAGGTTATATAAATATATATAAATGTATGTATACAGAGCGGCTGCTCCAGCTGTGGTGGTTATGATGGTTTGATTACGATAGGTGTGGCACTAAGACTGGTTCGAACACAAACAATGTAAGAGAATAATCTTCATGTTGCTGTGATATCATTTAGGTTATTGTAGGGTTACAACTTATGATTGTTTCATTATACATTCAATTATCATTAAGTCTAATACATTTCTAACCTTGAAAAACAGAAGTATTTAAATAAAAAAATGAAAAAGCAAGTGTGTACATACTTTTGAAGAATGTCCAATTGCAATTATTTTTGACTGATATTTAAATTGAGATATGATTTTCCATATGAGGTTTGATTGAGTGATTAATTGAAGCTCATATTTAAATGATTAAGGTGTGGTTTCAGGAGGATCTGAAACAGTCTCAAGTCTGTAGAACAGGATGCACTGACTGTGGCATCTCTGCAGCATGACAATATCTTTTAAAAAACAGAATTTAAAAAACACATTTCACTTTAAATAAAATATGCTATCAATACTTCAGAACCCTATTACCGCCCTTCAAAAGTTCAATTGAGGAATATCCATTGCTTTCACCTAGGGACATAAATATATTCATTTGTTTCTGAAGACTTTTGATCAAGACTTGAATTGATTTTGCAAAAATTAATTATTTTACAGTGCTGTAGTATGTGACTGGACTAATGAAATCCTGACAAATCCACATAACCGTCTATCACTGTGTCTCTTTTGTTTATATATGCATTTTTTAAACTCTTTAAATACATTCTTGGAGGTTAATGAACTCGTTTGGAGGACAGCACATGCTTAAAAGGAAGCATACACTCTCACTCTTTATTTAAAAGCTTGTTATCTTTTATTATTCATCTCCAGAGGTGGGAAGTAGTGGAGTACAAATACTTCGTTACTGTACTTAAGTACATGTTTCTGGTATCAGTACTTTATTCCACGACTTACTTTGACTTCTTACATGTTGAACACAAATACCTGAACTTTCTACTTCTTACATGTTGAACACAAATACCTGAACTTTCTACTTCTTACATGTTGAACCCAAATACCTGTACTTTCTACTTCTTACATGTTGAACACAAATACCTGTACTTTCTACTTCTTACATGTTGAACTCAAATACCTGTACTTTCTACTTGTTACATTTTGAACCCAAATACCTGTACTTTCGACTTGTTACATGTTGAACTCAAATACCTGTACTTTCTACTTGTTACATGTTGAACCCAAATACCTGTACTTTCTACTTCTTACATGTTGAACTCAAATACCTGTACTTTCTACTTCTTACATGTTGAACCCAAATACCTGTACTTTCTACTTCTTACATGTTGAACACAAATACCTGTACTTTCTACTTCTTACATCCATCCATCCATCCATCTTCTCCCGCTTATCCGTGGTCGGGTCGCGGGGGTAGCAGTTCCAGCAGAGAGCCCCAAACTTTATTTTCCCTGGCGACATCAACCAGCTCTGACTGGGGGATCCCAAGGCGCTCCCAGGCCAGCGAAGAGATATAATCCCTCCACCTGGTCCTAGGTCTACCCCTTGGTCTCTTCCCAGCTGGACGTGCCTGGAACACCTCCCTAGGGAGGCGCCCAGGTGGCATCCTAACTAGGTGCCCGAACCACCTCAACTGGCTCCTTTCGACGCGAAGGAGGAGCGGCTCAACTCCGAGTCCCTCCCTGATGACCGAACTTCTCACCTTATCCCTAAGGGAGACACCAGCCACCCTGCGGAGAAAACCCATCTCGGCCGCTTGTATCCGCGATCTCGTTCTTTCGGTCATGACCCATCCTTCATGACCATAGGTGAGGGTAGGAACGAAAATGGCCCGGAAGACCGAGAGCTTTGCCTTCTGGCTCAGCTCCCTTTTCGTCACAACGGTGCGGTAAAGCGACTGCAGTACCGCTCCCGCTGCTCCGATTCTCCGGCCCATCTCACGCTCCATTGTTCCCTCACTCGAGAACAAGACCCCGAGATACTTGAACTCCTTCACTTGGGGTAAGGACTCATTCCCTACCTGGAGTGGACAGTCCATCGGTTTCCTGCTGAGAACCATGGCCTCAGATTTGGAGGTGCTGATCCTCATCCCAGCCGCTTCACACTCGGTTGCGAACCGATCCAGTGAGTGCTGAAGGTCGCAGACCGATGAAGCCATTAGAACCACATCATCTGCAAAAAGCAGTGGTTGCAATCCTTAGTCCACCGAACTGCAGACCCCCTCCCCCATGACTACGCCTCGAAATCCGATCCATGTATATTACAAACAGGATTGGTGACAAAGCGCAGCCCTGGCGGAGGCCAACCCTCACCGGAAATGGGTCCGACTTACTGCCGAGGACCCGGACACAGCTCTCGCTTTGGGAGTACAGAGATTGGATGGCCCTGAGTAGAGACCCCCTCACCCCATACTCCCGCAGCACCTCCCACAGTAACTCCCTGGGAACTCGGTCATACGCCTTCTCCAAGTCTACAAAACACATGTAGACCGGATAAGCGTACTCCCAGGCCCCCTCCAGGATCCTTGCGAGAGTAAAAAGCTGATCCGTCGTTCCACGACCAGGACGGAATCCGCATTGTTCCTCCTCAATCTGAGGTTCGACAATCGGCCCTGACCCTCCTTTCGAGTACCTTAGAGTAAACTTTCCCGGGGAGGCTGAGTAGTGTGATGCCTCTGTAATTGGCACACACCCTCTGATCCCCCTTTTTAAATAGGGGAACCACCACCCCGGTCTGCCACTCCTTCGGTACTGTTTCCGACTTCCACGCAACGTTGATGAGACGTGTCAACCATGACAGTCCCTCAACACCCAGAGCCTTCAGCATTTCCGGGCGGATCTCATCCACCCCCGGGGCTTTGCCACTGTGGAGTTGTTTGACGACCTCAGTGACCTCCCCCCGGGAGATTGGTGTTGATCCCCCGTCATACTCCAGCTCTGCCTCTAACATAGAGGGCGGAGTTGTCGGGTTCAGGAGTTCCTCAAAGTGTTCCTTCCAACGCCCTAACACTCCATCAGTTGAGGTCAACAACGTCCCATCCTTACTGTACACAGCTTGGATGGTTCCCTGCTTCCCCCTCCTGAGGTATCGGACAGTTTTCCAGAACAACTTTGGTGCCGCCCGAAAGTCCTTCTCCATGTCTTCTCCGAACTTCTCCCACACCCGCTGCTTTGCCTCGGCCACGGATGAGGCTGCTGCCCTTCGGGCCTGTCGGTACCTTGCAACTGCCTCGGGAGTCCCCCGGGATAACAAATCCCTGAAGGCCTCCTTCTTCAGTCGGACGGCTTCCCTGACCACCGGTGTCCACCAGGAGGTTCGAGGGTTACCGCCCCTTGAGGCACCTAGGACCTTGAGACCACAGCTCCCCGCCGCGGCTTCGGCAATAGAGGCTTTGAACACCGACCACTCTGGTTCAATGTCCCCAACCTCCACAGGAATGCCCGAAAAGCTCCGCCGGAGGTGTGAGTTGAAGGCCTCCTGAACTTGGGC